AGACAGAATCAGCTCATGAATGTGACAAAGAACACTTTTTTGCAAAATGCCAGTTCTTTTCACTTCATACAAAGCGTCATTTGTAAATTTTCTTGAAGTTTAATTACTTCAGCTGCAGTTTTTCAGTATATTTTCATGTTCAGTGAGAGAAATCTGGTCTGTTTAGAGTCAGATTCAGTGCTGTGACTGAGGATCTGTGTCTAGTTTTGTTAAACGTCATCACTGACAGTGTTTGTTCACATGTGAAGGTGGATTCAAACATCTTCCGAGCACGTGTCTTTATGTGAGAGAAGAATAAAACTCGAGCAGTGATACTGTCCTGAAGTAATCTATCTGTAGCGAATCAAAGTGCAACAAACTGTCTGTGAAGTTAATTATCTCAGTTTCAACATCAGCAACGTGGTTAATTTTTAGCGCTGACAAAACCTGGTGCAAAAACGCTGCTTTTGTTGCTTTCCAAGAAGAGTTTCAGATCCCTGTTCCTGCTCGGCTTCCATGAAGTTCTTGTATTTCACTGTGTTTAGTCTCATTCGTGATGATTCAAACTGTAATGTTTCACCACAGAAATCTGCTTTCCACAAACGAACCACACAGCTTTACTTCTGACTTCAGTAAATACTTAGAAGTCCTGTCTTATTGAAAACTTCACATTCCACATCAGTCTTTCTTTTGTCACTGTGACATCTCTCGGGGCTAGAAACTTTCAGGAACAGTGACGGTGCATTCCTATGTGCACATCTACATACATTTAAAAAAAAGTAGTTACTTAAAAATAAAAGCAGCAAAGTTGTGTTGTGATTTGTGACCCGTGTGCCACATGATTGCATCCACTCAGAGGCAAACACAAACATATATAGATCTATAAATAGAGATGTACAGATAGATAAGATGTATAATAACAATAAAAGTGAAGTGTACAGCAATTTAAAATTAAAGACAAAAATGATAAACACCAAGACAAACACAGCAGCCAGCACTGGACTGGCTTTTAAGGTGGAACACCCAACTAAATATAGTTTGCCTAATGTAGCGTAGACTAAAGGCTTGGGGAAAGAGCCAGCAATTCTGTCTCTTAACAAAATCGAACACCACTACAGCTAAGCCTTCTCTCTGTTATAAAATGCATAACTTTTTATTTTAAAATGTTTGTACTTTGGTAAATGTCTCTTGTTGAAGAATAATACTGGGCACTGACTGTTTTGAGAATCTCATATTTTTGTAAAGTCACTATTCGCAGCAGTTCCACCATTCACTGCTTTAATGTATCATTTGTTTGTCTTTTTAGAGATTTACTACGTTGACAGCTTTTGCAGACAGTCACATAACAAATGGTGCAGTACCATCTCACACCTCTATGAACTCACTTCCAGGTGAAGCAGGCGCTGCAGCCGTACATGAGCAACCCAGTAGCTGTAGCTGACGGTAAGCTGGACCCGCTGTACTCTGCCATCCCCTTTCCAGATAAAGAGAGGTAAACACAAACACATCCCTGTCTTTATGCTACCTCTGTGATGGTTAAATAAAAACCGCTTAAGCACAAAAACAGCATTAACTTGTTACTTCAGAGGAAACTCACTGCCAACAATACAAACTTAGGCTGGAATGATTTTTTCAGCTGTGTGTAAAACTAATCTTGTGCCTTATAGGAGACATTATTGGTGCTTTTTCATCAGATTCATTGTATTATTTTACTGATCCGACAGGATTGATTGTTTTCAAGCAAAGTCCTTGATCTCAGTGAGGCATCTGGTGGGTTTCATGCAAAGCTGGTCCATGTTCCAAGCCTACGCTTTGAAAGACCCCAAAGGTGCTGAAGAGCTGCTGTCCAACACTGAGAGGAGGTCACCTGCACACACAAATTCTGATATTTAACTGGCCCGTGCCTGTTATTGTGATCTGACTCACACTTTTTGGTGTCACTGATCTTCTTACAGGTTCCTTCAAGAGATGGGAGTCACGTCTCCTGACACTGAAGTGGAACTTGAACTGGATTATTACTGCATCCTGGCCTGCAAACCACATTAATCAACACTTCAACATTCAGTGAATATCACTGTGAGATACATAAACCTGTTGTTCTAAATAAACCATGTTTTTATCAGCAGATTCTGTGTTTTACTGATTTTCTTGAACTGGACACATGTTTCATTTTGAAGTGAATAACCGGTGTCTGACATGCACAGTCACAGGTTACATAAGTGGAAAGAAAGAATTGAAGATTAACCAGCTGTGTCACGTCAGGGGGTGGAGGTGGGTGGGTGCTTAGAGGAGTCTGTCAACGGTCTTGGTATTGTGGGTGGCCTGTCCTCTTATTGTAACCATATCAGTGCCCCTTCCTTAATATTTCCAATAGTTAATCTGATGTTCCAGCTGAAAGAATAGCTGTCATTATCACTCGGAAATCAATTTAAGAGATTTTTCACATAATGAACTGTCAGAATCAATAGATATGTCTTAGTGTAGGTATTATTTAGGTGTGGTGTAAAATCCATCCATCCCCTCGTTTCCACTTCTCATGGTGGGGTTGGAGCCTATCCCAGTGGGTACTCTTAAAACTTTACAACTTAAAGTGGCCTAAGATTAACTCACTGTGCCAAATGTGTTTTGCTAAGTAACTGTAAATCTCTCAAGAAAAGATATTGCTGAAGTTCATCATAATTACTTCCTTGGAGGTTTTTTCATGAACGTAATCCATTCTTCTAAAGGTACCTAACACGTGGGAAAAGAGGAAACCATTATGTTTCCTTGCAAAATAAAATGTGTTGTAGGTGACATTTAAACTTTTTGGTACAGGAAATACTGAAAGACTCCACTTTAGCTGTAACACACACACACACACACACACAGACACACACAGGAGTTTTTATTGGTTCTGACGGGAGCACATACCATCACATGACCCGTAATCTAACCCTTTTCTCACACAGCGCTTTTGAGCTTGACCCAGATTTCAGTTTAATGTTAATATCATGGCTTAATTTTGACATTTAGAATATTAGAAATCAGTATTATGTAGGAAAAGAAGAAAACAACAACATTATTATAACAACAAGCAAAAAATAGGAGTATAAAAAAAGACTGTCTCTTTAAAAGGCTCTAATAATGAAGCAAAGCAGGTTTTGGCAGGAGTGGGACCTCCCACTCCACTGTGTGTCTTTCTTTGTGTTTGTGACTTACTGCTGATTCTCACAGTGGAGTGTAGAGTTTCACTTCTCTTATCTGATCAAAAAGAAAAATACACAGACAAAAAAACAACAACACCACATTAGGTAACTTGTTACTTAAACTGATGCTGGTTCAGCTGTTTAAGAAGGCTTCAGCTCACCATGGCCTACCGCCTGTTTGAAGGCAAGCAGCATGCTTCTTCCTACTGGAGGTACAGGATCTCTCCATCAGGTCATCTATTTCAACACGTGCTCGACTTCCTGGAAAAACATGTAAGTGTGACAAATGCTTCTCCTTCGAGAATCCTTTCCACTGTAAACTGCCATCAAACATTTACAGCACGTTAACGACATGTTGAATATTTTGTCAGAAAGGTCGGCCCTTTGAGCTGGCAGTGGACGTGGGATGCGGCTCAGGACAGGGCACTCTGCTGCTGGCCAGACACTTCGCCTCTGTGGTGGGCACTGACGTGAGTCCCGCCCAGCTGGAAGTGGCTTTGCAGCACGCCAAAGAGCCGAACATCACGTACAAGTAAGAAAAGACCAAACAAGTCAGAATTCATCAAAACTCGTGCCTGTAAAAAAATAAAATACCACAGTTAATGCCACATCATTTGTTCTGGTCTAGTAGGAGAATGTTCCTTAATGTAAGCCTCACAGCATGACCAGCCTTCACAGGACAGGGGTTACATTGTTCAGCCGCGAGCTACGTGTTTTCAGAAGTCCTGCATAAACACTCTGAAAAATGATCCTGCAGTCGGTCAAAAGTTTCACTTGGCCTTTGCTCCTCTTTCATCTTCAGACAGTGTGGTGCCGAGGAGCTGCCACTCGCTGACAGCTCAGTGGACCTGGTGACGGCCATGTCTGCCTTCCACTGGTTTGACAGGCCACGCTTTCTCGAAGAGGTCCACAGGGTCCTGAAGCCCCGCGGCTGCTTAGCCTTGCTCAACTACACCATTGACATGGAGCTCAGCTACGCCGACTGCTGCTCGCACTCACTAAACCAAGTCTGCAAAGAGGTGCTCGCATAATATCCACCTAGAATAGACTGCTGTGTTTTCATTACCACTGTTTATAGTCTAGTGGTTTTTAAAGTAATGCAGCAAAACCATTTCTGGAAAAATTCTTGAGCGCTCACTTATACACCACAAAGTCAATATGATTACTAAAATAACTCTTTTCTTTAAGACTAAACATTATTCAAGCCTCATATTCATGTCCAGGAAGGTGATTTCAGTTAAAATAGTTACATTTAAACTAAATAATTCTTACAGAAAAGATTTATGTAAAAAGGATTAGATGTTCCTGTGTTTAAAGTCTGTTTTAGAGGGTAAAAAAAAGTCCACCTTAACTAATAAATATATAAGGAAGGAGGGTTTGTGTGCCACTCAGATGTTATTTTATAGGAATGTGAGCGGTGAATAACGGCGCTTTCAAAAAACAGCCAAAAGATGATAAATAATAATAAAGGAAGCATCTCCTCTCTGCTTTCGGTGGAGTTTTATGCACCAGGTTCATTGCCACATCATCCAGAGAAACAGCACTTGGTGCAGTGCAAACATAAGGACACAGAGTTTGGATTACTTTGTTGTTAAGAAACTAAGATGATGTGCGTTGCCATCTAGAGGGCGTTTCTGGTAAAACAGCCTGAGCTGAGGGGTGCAGTTGTTTGAGTTGATGAGTGAGGTGCACCAACTTTGAGTGGACTGTAACACACAGCTCATAGTTATCATAACTTGAATATTACTGAGTTATGTCTGATTGATGCTCTTTGGAATATTATTAACAAATTCATAATAAATACTTCTCATGGCCTTTTCTGTTGGATCTGCCAGTTTTATGCAGCGTTGCAGCCGTACCGCAGCCCCCACCTTGGAGTGAGCTCTATTAACTTGTACCGGGAGGCCTTAGAAACGATTCCCTACCCTCACAAGGAATGGTAAATAATCCTAACTCTAATTGTTTCTTAATATGGAATTTTCGCAGCAGACCACCATTACTTATGTAACAGACGTTTTAATTCTTTCCAGCATATACATGTTGTGTACTTTATAATTTGTAACATTTAAAAAAAATAAAAATAAAAAAAACACTTTAGCTATTTTAATGTTCAGCATCCACTTTAAAAAAAAAATCCCCTTGGCATGTCTGATGGGTATTTTATTTATCTCTCTCTCTCTCCACTGACTGCGTTCATGCCGCGAGTGTATTTTGTGTTACAGGCAGGAGTGTTTGTGGGACAGAAAGACCATGCCTCTGTCCAGCTACATGGGGCTGGTGGAGTCTTTCTCCAGCTATCAGGCTCTGCTGAGAGACGACCCGCAGGAGGCCTCCAGACTCTCCCAGGACATCTGTCAGAGGTGAACCGGGACCTTCACGGTGTATATGTGTCATAATGACAATAATGTGTTTTGACAGTTTAATGTTCCTCAGTGTTAAAATCTATTACATACAGTAACATGACAAACATGTCAGCAGGTTTTGTGGGTGATAATAATGTCAGTGGAAAAACCACAATTATAGGTGTAAGACTGGCATTCGTTGTTGTCTAAACGAGTCCCTCTAGCTGAATTATCATGCGCTCTGCTTCCTGTGTTTCTCTGCATAGGCTGATGTCTGTAATGAAGGTGACCTCTGCAGAGACAGAGGTGGTGGTGGCTGTCAAGTATTTCTACCTTTTGGCCTGCAAACCACAGGAAGCCTGACACCCGTCTCCTCCATTATTATTATTATCATAACAACAAAAACGAACCTAATTAAGGATCCAGTAGAAAACATGTCCTGTTTTTGTTTTCCCTTCAGTTTCTCTGTGCACAAATGTATCTCTTTGATACTCAAAATTTAGGACAAGCTCAGAAACAAATAGTGCTATATAATGCTTTAATTACATAATTTATTTCCTGTATTTTAACTAAAATTAGTCACGTGTGTACATTTACCGTACAAACATAAGAGTGATATTCATCATCACACTTAATGATCCAGCTTTTATAAAACCAGCCTTTTCATAGAGAAGTTGCACAGAAAGGTTGTGCAGATATTATCTGCTGAATACGCACTTTTCCCAATAAGCACAGAATTATATACTCAGTGTTTGCATCAGATTGCTTTAGTAAATTCTCAGAAACATGTGAAGCCTTCATGGTGTTTCATAAGTTGCCACTAGAGGGAGCCATTGATCAATGTTCTACTGATGACTGAGACCATTCCGATCAGGTTTTTGTAAGTCTGGCAAAGCACCACCATTAAAACCCGACTGCTGTGTCCTTGGTTTCTTCATCATCACCATTATCAGTGTCTGCTTGGCTTCATTGCCCAGGAGGAGATGTAAATGAAGCCCCTGTTATCTTAATGTCGGTGTGCTTGGGCCATTTTCAACCTTCAGTCTTTGAAAGTTCATCACAGCTTCTCTTAAATTTGTTTGCTCAGAATCTCAGTGAGAAAATAGAATTTCCTTAACTATCACAAGGGGTTGGAGTTGCTATTGCTTCTTAACAGTTCTCTAAGACCTTGTATCACTCTTGTCTACAGGGCTTTAGAAAACCTTTGAACTTCTCAGGGCCCTCATCCCATTACAGACCACAGTGGATTTATGGGCTTGTTCTCCAGACTAATCCTTTTGTATGCTTGTCTTTACTGAGCTAAGAGTAACTTTGTCATGTTTGTTATGCTTAAAATAGCCTCAATTTTGTTCTCAAACCCTGACTTTCTAACTGAGGGCCTTTATTATAAACACATAGTACTGGCAGTGCAGGAGTGTTAAACATTCGAGTGCCACTTGTTGCTGCTGGCATGACTTGAGATCATGGTTTGACTCAGGAGGGCCAAGTAAGCATGTTTGCCTAATCTGAAGTTGGTCTGCTTTAACCTTTAACCTCTTTAACCTGACAGGACATCCTCAAAATATGTAGTTACCTACATTTTGTTTCACTCTATATCATTTTATTTTTACAGTATCTTCTTGTCTTCCTCCTCTGACCAGGCAGAAGTATCTAACAAAATCTGTTAAATAGTGAAAAACCATGACATTCTCACTTCCCGGTGCTTTTTGATTTTCTTCTTCCAATTTCTGGATTTTTAAATGATTTTTTTTACCTTTAACTTTTTAGTTTCCTTTGAGCATTATTGCAGTTTTTTACTGCTTAATGTAATTAATGTAGTGAAGGCTACAGCTGATTTAAACTATGATAGAATAATAGTTGTAAATAATATTACTTTCATGTATTAAATACAACAATTTACTACGGCACATCTGCGTCCTCCTTTCTCTCTGATGTTTCAAGTGCATGGGCTCCATTCAGATCTCATTATAAGCACCCTGCTATTATCTAAAGATATGGAAGGAAATCAATAGCTGTCTGTCCTTTGAAATCACATCTGTTCTGTCAGGCTGCTGACAAAGCTTAGCAGAAAGTCAGCTTGAAGGGATTTATTTTTATTGATCTGCTTTTGAATTACATCTTTGCACAATGGGGTACTCTGTGCATGCATCTCTGCAGACTCCACACCTTTGGGCACAGTCGGTGTCTATGTAACAGTTTCTGATTTTAATGGGAAATGATTAAAAATAATGTGAAAGCTGAGAATAATTTGAAGACCACCTGGAAGTCAAGAACACAAACAAACCAAGATCAGAATCTTCAACTCTGATCTTAAATCAGTTTTGCTCTGTGGTGCAGAACATAGGAAGCTGAGAAAGGCTCACAGACCTTCATCAGCAGCTGTCTAAGGAACATTTTGAAGACTTACTGGTCTAACTTGATCTGCAATGACCTGTAGGAAAAAGCAAAACAAAGACCTGCAGAAGAAGAGGAGGATGAGATGGGTAGGACTCAAGGGAACACCACCACAGACGAGCCTGAAGGAAAGGAAAAAAGAGGCAGCCCAGAGTTTGAATAAGCAAATATTTGAATATACAAATATGAGCTAGAGCTCATTTGCATCCTCCTCCATCCCTATACAATGATCAAACAGAAGCAAAGGGGCTCAAGGAGAGTTTTAGTTTCGTCAGCGCACGTGTGCGGTGATTTGTGACTGAAAACTCTGTGCTTTACGTCAGAGACGCCAGGCTCTGATAGTAACTCTCATTGAATTCTGCAGAATGTGCTGGAGCAACTTCAAAGCAACTGAGATATTCTGTCAAACAGTGAGCATGTCTGATGTGTCTGCTAAACACGTGTTTCCATCTGTGCAGTCTTCAATGTTATGCATTTAAAAACAAAGCAAGGATATTAATAACAGACAAATAATTTTGTAGAGCATACATCGTAAAATGAACACAAGCACAAACAGTCCTCTCGTGACTCAGTGTTTTCTGGTACTTGCAAACACTGCACATTACACATCAGCTTCCCGCATGCCCGAGGACAGCATGACCAAATACTTCCATCAGGGTCTACTTTTTGACACAATTCTTCTTTCAGCGCTTTGCCCTGTCACGTCGCATATTCCTAAAGCTCACCTACAACAATAACACCACATCTAATGGTACATGAGTAAAGGTGGATTGCTTGTAATGGGTTTGACACAAAAGGTATGCCTTTTTCTGACATGACAAATTTGAGCCTGATACACGTTCTCTGGTAGCACTAAGCTACATCTCTTACTCTGCTCAGGAATCACTACTGCAGGGAATTTCAGCTCATAACATTCTTCTACATTTCACACATAAATTAGTCTGAATGAAAAGGCAGCAAGGTTGATGGCTGTCTGTATTTACCATCAGGTATAAGCATGACTGATCTGCAGCTAAACTCTGATCTTCTGTGTGTTCAGACACTTTTCCATCAGAATCACCACAAACGTTTTGTTTTTTGTTGTTGTTGTTGTTGTTTTTTTTAACTTTGAGCTACAGAAGCTCGTCTGTCGGATCAGACCTTAAATCCTCATGTGCATCCATGAACCTTGGTGGTCCATGACCCGTCACTGGATTACCACTGTTCCTTCCGTGGACCACTTTTGATCGATCCCTATAAACCAGGAGCAGGCCTGTGGTTGTGATCCAGTCATCTAACATCACAGTTTGGCCTTTTGTCAAACTCAAAACTCACCGTTTTTCCAGCTTCCAACATCAACTTTGAAGACAAAATGTTCTCCTGCTCCCTGATATAGTCCACCCACTAACAGGTACCATGATGAAGAGATAATCAGTGTCATTCAGTTCACCTGCAGCGGTCAGAGCATTACACCTAATCGGTGTAAGTGTTAGCGCAGAGATGGACTGACATCCTGTCTGCACTGTGCTCTGTAAAACCTCTGTTCCCTGAATCAAACAAGGATGGATTGTTTTGTCTCACACAATAGTAACAGATTTTTGATAGAACCTAGCTGATAATAGCAAGTTTGCAACAGACATAATAACGGTATAAAAATGATATCACAAGCATTACTCATGTTCTTGTGGATACATTTTCCTTTAAACTGAGTGGACACTGTGCCAACATCTGGGTCATTTGGTCCAGTGGGGAGAGCAAAGCCCCAAGTGTAACTTTTTGTTTCTGCATGATTAAGACTGGAGCCTCTGGGGCTGATGTCACTGCTGCTGCAGTCGCAGTGTGATCTGAATTGACAGCCAGACATGACTTTATTGTGCATTCAGAGTAACCAGGGGTACTTCTGGGGACATTTAAGAAAAATCTTTGTTAAAACTATTTTTTCTTTTTATTCTGTACTTTGGTTTCTGAAAAAATATGAGCAAATCTTTGGTTCACCCATAAACTACAGATGTTTATTGTGCCAGTTAGAAAATGAATTAGAAATAACAAAGAGCCGTTGTCCTTGGATACAAGCACATAACATACAGTGGTTTAATAAAGTACCAATAACAGTTTAACTGTATTTACATTATTTAGGTGACCTGCAAATTGTCACCAAAGAAATAATTAAAATATACAGTCAGTTGCATAACTAATTTTGCAGCAAACAAGCAATATTTCCCCATCCTACATTATAAGTACGCTGTGGAGCCATATTATTGAGTGACTTACCTTTTTACATCGTTATTTATTAAAATAGTTTTTAATCTTCCTTATATTGATGTGCATGATGGATATTCTATGTTTATTTGTTCTTTTTTGCTTACTCTGTACTTAGAAGCTGCTGAAATTGGCCGATAATATAATAATTTCTTTGTGTTCTGTAAAATCTTGACTTGTTACTTATTGTAGGGTACTATCTGTACGTACTGGTAGGTAAATATAATCACGTTGTAATTTCAAATAAAATACACTGAAATTCCATTCAGCTGATTTTGTACTGTATGAACTTGCTTGTAAATTTTAGGAATAAATAAATAAATATAGCAGATTGTTTTTGTTTACTTTCAAGGCAGCTGTGTAATGAAGCTGGCTCGGAAGTGAATAATTACATGGAAATGCGATGACTGGTATCCTGTGGTTTAAAGCTGGAACTCATTAGTTTTGCTGTAACTTGATAATAAAGTCACCAAAAGCGGTTAGCAGTCTCCACAGCTCGACTTAAAATGTCAAATTACTGTGACATTAAATCAAGTGAGTACCTCAAAATAGCACATGCACTGTGAGGAGCGCACACAGCTTCAGTCGGTTAGAGTTATAAAATAATAACTTGTGTAATATTTTCCAAGCAGCGTGACTGAATCTGAGTCATGGAAGGGAAACGAAGATTAAAGATCTGCCTTCAAGGACAATCCAGAGCCACCGGCTTGTAGACAACATAGCAGCAGAAGATAAATCCTAATACGTTTCTATGGGACTGTTTTTTTCACTTGGGCTGAATACTTTCCAAGGCACCGATGGGCTTCAGACATCAAAGCTGACAGAAGCTAATTAAACATTTCAATTTCAAGATGTTTCTGAAAAGATAAACCGAACTCAGAAATTCCTTAAGGGGCACTTCTGTCAGTTAATTGCCTCCTTTGGGTATAAAAGTAACAAACTTTGTTTTAAATCCCCCTCTTTAGTCTGTTTTGATCTCTGAGGCCCTGACGTGACAGTATACATAATTTTAGTAAATGTCTTGATTTTCATACTGGATTGGGGTCATTTAAGGACAGAAAGTCTAATTTGTCTATTTCTTTAGTCTGTGTTCTTGATCTCTCGCTCTCTCTTTAGGCTAAAACTCTGATTGATTTATGAGAGTATTTATTTGCTCGGGGTTCGAGTGTAATTTTTGCACTATTAATTATAAATATTTACTTATTTACTTTGGTTCTCGATCTCTACAATGAAGCACCAACACTCCCACAAATAAATACAGATGTACGCTTTGTTGTTACTGGACATCCTCCGAATAACAAACGCATTGTGTGAAGCGAGGAAGTGAACGTAACACAGTCACGGGGTTAGTCCTTTGGCCAGAAAGCCTGATGGCCAACACCTGTCTAAACACATGTAGATGAAAAACAGAATGCGCACCCGCTGCAAGATTAATACGCCCCTCCTGTTTTAAGACCCTTATCTAATCAGACAGGTCAGTCAAGAGCATGTGCTTGTTTACAGTGACAGCACCACCCTCCTTCCTTGTTCAACTGGCCGAGTGAATGAACAGTTTTGTCCAAATACTTTAGGGCGAACTGGGTTTGCTCCAAGAAGAATGTGCTGTTCTGTCAAACAGCAAATACTCCGGTTTATATTTCTGAGTGTGTTTGTGTGTCTTTGTGCAGACATGGCAAACAGGAGGTTTTCATTTCATACATAGATGCTTCTTCATCCTGCACAGCAATGCAAGAGAACACCTTCACAGATAGATAGATAGATAGATAGATAGATAGATAGATAGATAGATAGATAGATAGATAGATAGATAGATAGATAGATAGATAGATAGATAG